CGGCACCTATATTTATACTCCGCCCGCTCGTACCGTGTCACGTACTAGGTAACGATTGTGTTACGCACATAGGTGCGAGCGGGACGGAGAGCGCGAAAAGACCACCTCTACTCGCTCCTTTATTTATTAATTTAAACTTTACATACAATACAATTTAATTCTACCTATTAGGGAATTGAAACTACTACAATTATAAATTTTATTAAGCTAACAATAATCAAATATTTACAATAGTCGCGAACATATCTCCCGCCGCAGCTAAGCTGTATTTATTTCGAGTTCGCGTTGTTCGATTGGCAGGATTACTAATTTCTTCGTAGGCCGCCGAAGTATCCCCTTGTTAGTGCGCACGTCGACCGCCCGTATTTCACCATCCGGTCCCGGATACGTAGCCACCACCACGCCGCGCGGCCAGGAGTTCCGAGGCAGGTTGCCGTCCGCCACCAGCACCAAGTCTTCTAACTTGATGACTCCGTGTTTAGCTCGGGGCTCCCGCCGGTGTTGTAGCTGTATTGTGTGGGCGCGCTCTTCGCTTGTATTTTCCGTCTGGTGGGAATCGTCTTCATGAGGCCACTCTTCTTCTGGTCGATATAGAAATTGCGGCCCCCGGAACCATCTGTGTGTTGAAGTGAAGTGGTGTGGCACGTCGCGTGTGGCATCATCCGCGACGTTGTCGGCCGTCGGCACCCATCTCCACTCGTTCGTTTTCGTATCTTCCATAATTTCAGCGACTCGGTGAGCGACGAAGGGCTTGAATGCACGCGGCCCGGTGCGTAACCAAGACAGTACGGTACGCGAATCCGACCAGTAAACACGACGGGCAGGTTTCAGATCGTGTTCTTCGACAGCCGTGCGTGACAGGCGGCTCCCTAGTACGGCCGCTTGTAGCTCCAGACGTGGTATAGTGGTGACCTTGTTCAAAGGGGCCACTCTTCCCTTGGCTGCGATGAGTGACACACGTACCTCGCCGGTCACGCATACGGCCCGCCAGTATACGACACAGGCGTATGCATCTGAGCTCGCGTCGACGAATGTGTGAAGCTCCGTCGTATATGCCGTCGCCACACCGGGGTAACACCGTGGTATTACCAAGTGGGGTAACTGCTGTGCGTGCGATATCCAGCTCCGCCACGCTGCTGCTTCCCGTTCTTGCAGTTCGGTGTCCCAGCCGATACCCGTGCGCCACGTTTCTTGTAATATCTTCTTGGCTTGTATTGTGACGGGTGTGGCCAGGCCCAATGGGTCAAACAGCGACATAACGGCGCGGAGGGCTTCTCTCTTCGTTGGGGTGCGTTCGCCTCGTATGATGTGTAACGGAAGTTTGTTCCCGTTGAAGTTGAACCCGAGACTGTCTTCCTCAGGCCGCCACACCATACCCAGTATCTTCTCAGCGTCGAGTTGCACCATGTTCTCTTCATTTCTATGTGAGAACTCTTCTCGTACATGGCGCGAGTTCGATGCCCAGCGCTGAAGATAGTAGTTCGCCCGGCTGTGGATGTAGGCGACCTCGCTTGAGACTCGTACGGCTTGCTCTTCAGTGTCGAAGCTAGCGAGGTAGTCGTCAACATAGTGATTGACAACCACCGCTGCAGCCGCCTCCGGGAACTCTTCTTTATGTAGTTCGGCGTTCTTGTTCTTCACGTATATCGCCGTGCATGGCGACGAAGTGGCCCGAAGATGACGCTCTTCATCCTATATTCGACAGCTGGACCCTGGCGTCGATCTCCTCTCCATAGAAACCGTTGCATGTCTCGGTCTTCTTCTCGTATTGTGACACGCATGAACATATCCTTGATGTCCGCTGTGATCGCCACACGGCGCTGTCGGAACCTCATGAGGACCCCAGGTAGTGATTGGAGTAGGTCGGGTCCCGACAGCAGCATGTCGTTGAGACTAATGCCCCTTGTCTTGGCGGCGGCGTCGTGCACGATGCGCAGCTTGTCCGGTTTCTGTGGGTTGATGACAGCGAAGTGTGGCAGGTACCATACTCGTTCAGTCTTCACCGGTGGGGCGATTTCTGCATATCCCCTTTCTAACAGCGTGGTAATTTGCTGTTTATATCTGTTCTTCATGTCTTCATTCTTGTCGAGTTTTTTCTCAATTAACTCGAGGCGTCGCATTGCTGAGTCGTAGTTAGCCGGCGGCGTTGCGTTGTCGCGTTTCCATAGCAACGCGGTCTCGTAGCCTCCCGCCGGTAACGGGCGAGTTTTTTCTTGCAATATTTTCAGCGCGCGTTGTTCCTCTTCATTGTATGAGCGCTTCGGTGTGACGCCCAGTGATTCGAGAGCGAAGTGTTCTTTCATTAATCGCTCTATGGATTCTTCATTTTCTTGCCCGTCGACTAAGTGACTGATTCTGTGCACTTGCTGTCTCGCTCTCGCCGCTCCCGTGCCGTGCAACACCCAACCCAGGTCGGTGAGTGATGCGACCGGTTGTGTCTTATTGCCTCTTCTGACTTCATGTGCGAGCAGCAAATGCCAGTTGTCTTGACCCAGCAGAACCGTCGGTTGACCTTCTTCATATGTCAGCTGATCTATTATATCGTACAAGTGTGGACAGTCTTCTATTGCGCTGCGTGATACTGTTTGTGGAGATAACAGTAGTTTCTTCATGGTTCGCGCAGACACGGCATGATCTTCCGATCTTCGTCCCCGTATTGTGAAGTGGACAAGCTTCGATTCATCGGCGTTTATACGTGTCCCGGCCACGGCCTCTATGTAGAAGGGTGCGGGAGGGCCAGTGGCGCCGATTTGCTTCGCTGTTGCTTCTTCGATGATGGTGCACGTTGCGCCGTCGTCCAGGAGTGCGTATGTATCGCACGTTCCTTTGGGACCGATCACTTGTATCGGCACTATCTTGAGGAATGCGATCTTCTTATCTTCTCTATACTGCGGCTGCTTTATATCGGAGGGCTCGCTGTCCTTCTTCTCTATAGTGTCGACGTGCAGGAGTGGGTGATGTAGGTGTGTACACCCACCAACGTTGCATCTCTTCGTCTTGCAGTTGTGACGAAATCTTTTTATCCTCAGGCAACGGAAACATAGCCTGTGTTTTTTTGCTATCTCCCATCTTGCTTGTGGCTCGGCGTTCTTCACAGTGATGCAGTCGGGTGGTGCGTGTCCCTCCCTGTTGCACGTCGGACACGGCGGTGAAGTCGGGTTCTCCTGCGTGATGTATGTTTTCACGCTTCTCTTCGTTGCTGGCTCCCGCCGGTCTTCATTTACTATTACTTCGGCGGGTGCGAAGTCACCGCACCTGGCTGCGGTGATTTGCAGGAACTTGGAGAGCGTTATCAGGTCCGGTTGATCAGCTGGCTGTTCTGCTACGAAGTCGTAGTATTTGAATCGTAGCGCAGAAGGCATCTTCTCCGTGATGGATCTTGTCACTTCTTCGTTGTACAAATAGTGGTTCTTCTTCAGGGCTTGAATTGTTGCAGTGACATTGGCTATTCTGGATGCGAATAGACAGATGTCCTTGGGGTTGTCTGACAGCCGCGGCAGCGCACGAAGTTTATTCATCTCGGCCATCACGAGTGCTCCTGGACGGCCGAACCTCGTAGCAAGTAATTGTATTACTTCTGCTGCAGACGTATCCCCAACGAAAAGACAGTGTGCAGCCTCTTTGGCCGCACCCTTTAAACACCGGCGTAATCTACCCAAGTTTTCTTGCTCGGTCAGCTGCCCCGCAGACTCTTCGTAGGCCATCTTCCAGGGCAGCCATTCGCTTGACGCGCCGTTGAAGGGTGGTAGTTCTGTGACTCGCGGCACTGTGGAGGGCTGAATTGCGCGAGCTGCCATAGTCATAGCAGTCGCCAATTCCTTATAGTCGATGCCCCCTTTCAGTGAATCCTCTTCTTTCTTCGTTGGCATCATCGGTGCTATGGAGTCTTCCCTCGGACCGTTGTGGCTTGCATGGTCCCGTCGGAATGCGTCGCTGCACGGCTGCGGCTGCGGCGCTTTCGTTCCCTCTCCGGCGGGTATCGATGAGATATTAATCCCCTGATGCAAGTCGGCGGTCGTCCTCTCTGTGTGCGGCTCCATTGTGAGTGCCAATGTGCTCGTCCGGCGAATCCAGTCCGTAGTCCTCTCTTCTTAATGTGGCGGCGTCCTCTTCATTTTCGTCCTCCTCTTCGTCGTCCGTGTCCGCCTCCAATGCTGCGACGCGTGCGGCGGCCAGTTCTACCTCCTTGCGTAGCAATTCTTCTCTGGCTTTAGCCAATTCTTTCTTCTTTTTTGAAGCTGTGGTGCGCGGCGCCCTTGGAATTGTTGTGGTAGTCTCCGCAGAAGTCTCCGCGGAAGTCTCCGTGGTAGCAGTAGGTTCCGAGGACGTGTACGTCGTGGTGGTCGACGTAGTGGCGGCAGCAGGCGACGTAGTGGCGGCGACGGTCGGCGTAGCGGCGACAGGCGACGTGACGGCGGCGGTGTTTTCTTCGTTTGATTGAGCTTCCATGGCTGTTCTTTGGCTTCTTGTTGTTGGCATCTGTGATCTTGATCTCTGTGCAGTCTTGCTTTCTTCTTCCAACAATCCGGCTCGAAGGACCAGATGTACGGGTATCTATTCCCCGTACTTGTTTGTAGGTTGCGGGTGCAGGTGGAAACAAGAAAGACAAGTGTAATTATCCTCTCGAGCAGAGTTCGGTGGTCTGTACTAGCGATGGAAGCGGAATGAATTGTGCCGCGTTCGGCACCTATATTTATACTCCGCCCGCTCGTACCGTGTCACGTACTAGGTAACGATTGTGTTACGCACATAGGTGCGAGCGGGACGGAGAGCGCGAAAAGACCACCTCTACTCGCTCCTTTATTTATTAATTTAAACTTTACATACAATACAATTTAATTCTACCTATTAGGGAATTGAAACTACTACAATTATAAATTTTATTAAGCTAACAATAATCAAATATTTACAATAGTCGCGAACATAGGCATATAATAAAAAGTATATAATAAAAGTATATAATAAAATAAATATGTATATAATAAAAATTACTCTTACAGATAACGACAGCGAATCAATTTGCACAAGTGAACAAGCAAAGTGCATTGGATTAGCTCGTGGTTAGTTTTTTCTTAAATAAATATCAGTTCTGTTAAGTCACCAACTATTTTATATACATATTATTGTTTACTATGTTATTTATAATATTAGATTATAATAGTTGTTACCTTACTTCCGATGATCGCGGGTTCGATTCCTCGCACGGCACAAACATTTATATTCATGAGTATGATTGTTTGTATCGATTCGTATTTACGAAAAAATATATAGCTTTAGCTAGCCTAACTTGGGACTAGATGGTGCTGTGTGAATTGTCCTGAGATTATTATTATTAAATATTACATTAGTCAGTAAAATATTTGCGGCCATATGTTTTTTTTTTGTTTTATTGTTCTGTTACTATGAATGAGAGAATTAATGAGAATTAATACGTAGATAATTGAATTCATTAAGTCGGATCAATTAGTATAATATAAAAATAACACTCTTTCAGTGGATTTCGCGAAAAGAGTCATCGACGATTTCATAGACGAAGGCTCCGATCCGTGCTCCTGCTTACCAACCTGCAATTCAATAGAGTACGATGCAGACAGTACTGTTTCAGATTACAATTTCAAAGACATATTAAGACAAATAGAGACACTGAAGAAAACAAATCTGTCGAAGCTAATTGAAGGGTAATTCTTTCCGAATTTATTTCTTTCTACCCGTATTTTATAAATAACTCTCAAAAGCAATAAAGCTGATGATTCTTTTGATAGCAAATCGTAATGTTCGGCAATACGAGTAAAAAATAGTACGTTGTTGTCGATTGAGACGATTTATATTATAGATGATAATGATCTGACAAAAGGTACATAAAAATATTGATCTTATATACTAAATGACAATAGGAAAATGTAAGGTGACAAAGTTTAGACGCGGCAGTGCTTAGTAGACAATATCGAATTTACCTGACTAGCCATTATTAAACACCTGTAGGTTTATTTGGATACATTATTTTCTATTCTATTCTACTCTGTTCTATTCTGTTTTATTCTGTTCTATTCTGTTCTATTCTGTTCTATTCTGTTCTATTCTGTTCTATTCTTTTCTATTCTGTTCTATTCTGTTCTATTCTGTTCTATTCTATTCTGTTCAATCCTATCCTGTCCTATTCTATTCTATTCATGTCAGTGAAATGTAACACCCCTGATCTAGTGAATTTCATGAGTACTTTTATAAAAAAATTACACCTATCTTAAGCGAATTTTTTTAACTTTCATAGAATTCAGTATTCGAGACTAAAATTACACTTCAAAGAGCCCAAATTCGTGTCTATGCGTCGGTCGGAGTTGTTCGGACTGACGGATTTCTTGGCGAACTGCGGCGGACTGCTGGGTCTCTTCCTCGGGTTCTCGTTCCTCAGTCTAATCGAGGTCGTATATTTCTTTACGTTGAGGTAAGAAAACTTTGTACCTTATAGTTTTTATTGCGGTTTTAGATACCTTAAGAAAGTTTTATACATTATAGTTATTATTGCGTTTTTAGATACCTTAATAAAGGTATTCTTGAATCATAAAAAATAATTGCAAATATATTCTATATATAGATATATAAATTGAGGACAAAATGGGAGTCGTGTCGTATCAAGAATTAAAGAGCATGATGGAAGATCGCGGAAAGTGGCAAGAGCTCCACCGACAAGAGCGTAGCTCTTAAATTATGAATGAATGAATGAACATTCTGCAAAGATTTTATTATAGGAAAACCAGCACTCTAGAATAAAATCATAATCATTACATAGTATAAAACAAAGTCGCTGTCGCTGTCTGTCCGTCCCTATGTATGCTTAAATCTTTAAAACTACGCAACAAATTTTCAAGTGGTTTTTTTAATAGATTTAGTGATTCAAGATTAAGGTTTATATGTATAATACATGTACACCCGGGCGAATCCAGGGCGAGTATCTAGTAATATTATAATCACGAAATGTTTGTTACTCTTTCACGCAAAAACTAATGAACGGATTTTGAAGAAACTTTTCAGTAATATAGCTTATGCGTCAGAATAACACTTAGGCTACATTTTATATTATTACTGCGTTTTTGAAATATGATAGCGTAGCAGTGTGTAGCTAGATAGAGCTTACACATCCACTAGACACACACAGTATATATATATTGACATACAAAGTAAGTATATATATTTGGTATAGGCCAGATTCGAACTGCACTTTTGGGTCCAAGTCAAGATAACTGAACAAGCCTAGTGACCGCATCACTTAAATGCTTCTTAGAAGTTAATAACGAAAATTCTATCTCTATATATCTTCATAGTATTAAAATAATTGATACAGAATTTAAAAAAATACATTTTTATCTTATTTCAGATGCGGATTCCTTTTGAAAAAGGATTTGGATGTAGACAAAGATACCGCAATAAAAAATACTACTATCAACTAATGTTAACTGATATTTCTTTTACACTTAACCAGGTTTTTTATATTTAACTTGAATATGACTAAATTTCACAGTATTCCTGTAATAATAAAAACATCTGATTCACATAATTGGCTTTGCGGCGTGATATTGCATCTCTGTGCATTTTCTACCGCATATATCACGGGGAGTGTTCTGAGGAATTGTTCGGATTAATACCAGCTACTGAGTTTCACCACCGTACCACCCGTCAGAAAAGGCAGTCCTTCACAGTGCGGTTTTCTAGAAACTTTTTGTCACGCACAACCACATTGTGGAATCACCTTACAGCAATGGTATTTTCAACGAAAAAAGAGCTTATTCCTTTTTAAAAGGCCGACAACGTACTTGCAATTCCCCTGGTGTTGCGGGTGCTCATGGGCGGCGGTAATCACTTACCATCAGGTGAGCCGCATGCTCGTTTGTCCCCTGTGTTATAAAAAAAACCATAATTATTAATAAATTGAAACTATAAACATTTAATTAATAAAATTGTACAATATTTAATTCAGTAACTGATTTTTATATTATGAAATTGTATAATAGCATTTTTAATTGACATTACATAGTTTGACGACCTCGATGGTCGCGGGTTCGATTCCTCGCACGGCAGAAACATTTGTATTCATGAGTATGATTGTTTGTATCGGTCTGGGTGTTTTATATATATAATATGTATGTATTTACAAAAAAAAAATATCTATGTATATGTATCAGTTATCTAGTACCCATAACACAAGCTTTAGCTATCTTAACTTGGGTCTAGATGGCGCTGTGTGAATTGTCCTGAGATTGTCCTGTCCCCCCTCCGATCGATCCCCCGTCTAATTCAAACGGGGATCGAAATACGACGGCCTGAGAGCCGAGGTTCGAATCTCAGCGGTGCCCGCAGACTAAAGTCGTATCCGTCAGCCAGGAGTTGGCCTAAGCCATAAGTTTTTGTCCTTCTGCGGGTTTGGAGTGCCATCACACACACACACAACGTCCGGTGAAGCAGTAAAGGCCAGCTGCGGCCAGAGCTGCATTAGAGTAGTCCGAAAAAAAAAACTATCTGTCTCTATGTATGCTTGCTATCAGTGCACGACGCACCTCTTTGTTTATTATTTATGTATTTTGTCTATTATTTTATATAGAAAAATATATAGGATATAGTCATTCTTGTTCTGCTAATTATTATACATTTGTACATAATATTATATTATTGCTTCCTAAAACCCGTGTTTGCATAATTACATCTACCAGCCCCATATATATGTACATACAGTCCTTCGTTCACACTGTCTTTAAAACTACACAACGGATTTTGAAGCTATTTTTTTAATAGATAGAGTGATTCAAGAGGAAGGTTTATATACATAATACATGTACACTCGTGCTAAGCCGTGGCTAGCTAATAATATCTTGAGATCTACTATAATTTTTTTTTTCATTTTTTTTTTTTTTTTAAAGATCATTAGGTTATTTACATATATTACGTTATACGCTAGCACTTTGCAGGTTTATTTTTAACTAGCTGATCCCGCGACTTCGTCCGCGTGGAATTTAACTTTATTTTTAAAAATAAAAATAGCCTTATTACATCAGCTACCTGCCAATAAAAGTCCCTTCAAAATCGGTCCAGCCATTTCAGAGATTAGACGGAAAAAACAGACAGACAGACAAAAAAAGTAAAAAATATTATTTTGGTATACCATATTTATATTCATATGCATGTAGTAAAAAACGGTTATTTCAATATTGCAAACAGACACTTCAATTTTATTTATATGTATAGATAATTCATCATCATCATCGCGGATGAAAGGACAGACATGGCCTTCGGCTATCACACTATATAATTTCGGATCAAATGGATCAGTTCCCCTCTGCCCACATTACAGTGAGCTCCGTAATTATCCAATCTTGTTATTAGCACCATAAAAAATCAACAATAAGTTATATGAGATCTATTAAATATATGGAAGTGTAATTAGAAGTTAATAAGAATCTTGAATCGAGTTAGATTTTGTTTTTTTTTTAAATTTATTTAATAAAGATAAGTACATATATTTTTACAAAATGACCCGCCAAACTGCAGAACAGTTAGTTGGCAAGATATCGCTCAGTTTTCTTAATACTCATTTACCTATATACATCTGTACAGGACTCCTTACATTTGGGCCGCAGGCTGGTATGACTATTCCTTATTTTTAAATATTTATATTTTATATCGGTTGCTATAGTTTTGTTATTTCTTCTATTATCCTTGTATTGCTCTTGCTTTCATATAGTTTGTTACGACATTGTTATAATATACTGTTCTTTTATATATTACACCTTTAATTACCACCATCGTTGACTGCACCGACCCCAGCACCCTATACACAGTCCCACACAACATCTATACAAATAAATACACGTTTTTACAGAAATTTAGCAATAATCTATGTACAATTTATTTTTTAAACATTAACTAAAATTACTATTTTTTAATTTTAAATATAGTGAAATACAAAAGTAAAATGTATATGTAGGTCCGGGGAGTCGAAATAATAGACTTTCTTCGAGAACAGTGATGGCTGGCTCTATCATACTGGTGAACGAGTGCTGCTTGTAGGGACTGGTCTGCTCTAATCACTACGACTGATTTACTCTTATATAGTTGCTTAAGAGGCCTTTCACATTTTTTGGCCTAAAAGCAGTGTCTTTGGGGTTCTGGTTCTAAGAAATTAAGAGTCGGATATACATTTTGATTCCTGAATTATATAGATAGATATCTAATCTTAAAAACAACATCTTTGAAATGTTAATTTTCTCTTTGTTAGTCTTCCTAATTTCTAAAATAGTTTATTCAAAAACGCTAAGAGACAGAAGTTTGGGGTCGTCGTTCATTAATAAACAAACATAAATTGATATGATATTTGTACTAAAACTTGATAATTACTTTATAAATTGAGACAGCATCGTCCTTTTTTTCATTTTCAACTTAAATATCTAAAAAATTGATCATAATGAAACCCGAAATTTCAACAAAACTTTGCCATAATCATTTCTAATTTTCTCATAAATACAACGAAATTTTTGCATAAAAAAAACATAATAATAAAGTTAATATACTTGTAAATTAGAAATATAAAAAAAAATATATAAGTTTCTAAGAAAAAATAAACAATAATAATAATTTAAAGTTGTATAAATTCCGTTGCGCCAAAAGTAAATTCTCAGTGCTGCGCTAGCGCTCGTCGAGGTAGGACCTATGCCATTTTTTACAACACCGCTAAGATAAGACATTCGTCAGTGAACATTAGTATAGAGCGACTAAACCATTTTGATAATTTAAGTAATATTTAATTAATTTTGCTAATATATACTTATTTCTACGAATATTAATTTAAAGTTGTTGTTAAATATATATATACATATATATATATAATAATAATATTTATTTTAGCATGCCAAGACAAAAGTACAGTTATGCTACAAATAAAACCTACCTACCCTGCTGGACTATGAAAAGCACAAGAGCATGGTATTTCGTCACACTAATGGCAATTAATTGTTAAAATTAAAAAAGAGAACATTTTAGTATTTTAAAAAATAACGCTTATCTGAGAGAAAAATGTAAGAAAATGTAAACCAATTTTACTCTATGTTTATTTTGTAGTTTTTTTCTAAATTAAAATAGGGTTATTGTTTATAAAAATACCATTATTATTTTTACGTACATTTGTCTTGTGTTATATAGTGTATATCATCTAGTATGCAATGTGGATTGTAAATAAATTACCAAATTATATTCCTTAATGTTTAGAGATATTTTATCCAATTTTATTTTATTTTACACAATACAGATATTTCTAAATTGCAGCTATTCTGTTATTATACTCGTTGGACTTTCATTACTGTACAGTTATGTCAAATAATTATGCGTGTTTGGGTGAAAAGTCAACAACATTATAAATGTTTTTATTTAGAGACTAGCTTTTAGCTCGCGGCTTCGCCCGCGTGAATATGGGATATATAGGTTATCGCGCGTTTAAAGATCCGTGTACAGTATTGGGTCGTTATATATAAACCTTCCTCTTGAGTCTATCTATTCTGTCTATTAAATAACAACGAATCAAAATCTGCGTAGTTTTTTAAGATCAAAACATACATAGATCTATTACATGTGTAGATGATATTTTAACCGGAAATTGAAGCCGTTAAAATGGTATTGGCAGATCAGTTGGAATCATCGGTATTCTTGGTATATAAGCTTCAATTCTTTAGTAAGCAATATATCCAATGGGACGCCATTGCACATGTTCGGCGGGCTTAAATTTCATGACTGGATCATGCTTTTGAGAAATTCCTTCCTCAAGTTTGAGCATTTAGTGTGGGAAATCACTATCTGTGCTTCCATAAAAATGAGCTCTCAAATTTGTCAGTAGTTTTAAACTTTCAATTAAAGTCCATAAGGGAGACGATGTTAATGACACAGAGAGTCTTTCAGAAATCTCCAGCAAAAGTATAAAAGTAATCCCGCCAATGAGAGCAGAGGTGTTTCTAAGGTCTTTTAAGGTTCTGTCCAAAATCTCTATAGCTCATGGTGATTTCATTACATATAATCAATGAGGCGTCTTATAATAATTTATAAAAAGGTTTGACATTAACAATTAATTATTTATCAAGAATCAAGAATCGGCCAACCAAGAACGAGAAGCTGCAATATCAGCCAATATCATGCGGCGACGTCAATGATGCAGGAACAGCAATGATAGCAGTTGAAGCTTTTTTTTACAACTTAGAATGGCAAACAAGCTGACGGCTCTCCTGATGGAAAGGGGTAACCGTCGCCTATATACATGAGCAGTACCTGCCATGTTCATATCAGCACATTGTTTCCCTCATGCGTTACCATTCCTGAAAACTCGGGTGTTATTCCCCTGTACCTTGTAAATTCACTACCATATATATACACAGGTAGTCTATATAGATAGATATACATATACACAGATAGTATA